ATTTGTCAGAAACAAAACTTATGATCCTATTTCCCTACGATTTTTTTCAATCACTGAAAATGAAAACTTAAAGTAATCCTTTTCTTTTTTTTTACATTTTTAGTACAATATTTTGTAGTGACTACCAAAGATGATGCGGAGGGGGACATAAAAGTTCTCCTTTTGATAAAATTTAGTATTGCTTTAGTGCTATGCAGTTGTTTATTGCAACGATAAAAAGTCAAATATTTTGACAAATTCCTCTAGATATTTATATTCAATATGATCCAAGGGTTCAAAATGGAGATGATTTTCAAATAAGGTACGATTCATTAAATACGTAGTTCAAATCCATGATCCCTTATTGGAGTGAAGGGACACGAACTAGCTTAAAGTAACGCCTGTAGGGCTAGTTTTCAGCTAGTAAAGAATAATGTTGACAAAAGTGTTTAATTCTATTGATGCATTATTACAATTACGGCATAAAATTCTGTACAATTGAAAACATGCCACTTACGGCCATATCACATTGAAACACTGAAATTGAGCCTGGTGATTACTCAGATTAATGATCTCTGTGGAATACCAGGTACTGTAAGTTTCGCTACAAGCCTAGGAAGCCGGTTATAGATACACTCTCACTACACTACTTGAAATGTGGTGGTGCTTCTTGACTGGCTCATTGAAATACCTACCTACCACATCGGTGAGTTAAAATATGCTCCAAATTTTGAACTGACAAATGCGTTTTAAATATTTCATATTTATCAAAAGATTTTATAAAATTATAAAACTTCTCAATTGTTATAGTCAAATAATTTTTTCTGATAAATGAAATCAATAGTAAAATATTTACGTCAATTAATGACTAGGTTACTATCAAAATATATTTGTATAAAATATTTGTTTTTACTAGTTTTGTTTTATTTTCACAAAGTCTAACCTGAAAAGTGACCGCTTATTTTTAACTCTTGAATAGAAGTAATTTACAAACAATTTAATAGCGTTCCTAAAGATAGACGAAACTTTACAGTGAGGTGAGACATTTTATTAATCGGATCCAGGCAATTATTGCAATTTTACTGAATGTAGAGTTACGAAAAGCTTTGTTCCTCTTGAAAGTCTAAAATGACATTTTTTTACTAATGTTCACCGAATACACGGCCCAAGGGCCACTCAAGGTAGGACATAACTGTGTGCAGTTGTATTAGCGTAAGAAAGAGCAAGATAACAGGAAAGACAGACAGATAATTCTAGACTTGAAGAGGTCAAGATTTAATTAGTGAATAAAATTTCAGACTTCAGGTGGAAATGTTAGAAATACAGAATTGAAGTAGACTTTATAAGCAACCGGAAAGCCAATCGTAAACAGGAAAAAAAGGGAAGGACCTCTACTCCTCTTCAAAAGACCAGGAAGGAGTGTGATTTTTGAGACATGGATGTGCATTTAGACAAAACAAATAATATTTTAATTTTTTCCTTGTTTTATGAAAATACTGAATTAATATAACTTTTACACTATTTATATAATTCGGACTGTTGTCCTCGTCCCTGCTGCTATTTACGGCATTTCGGCCGCTGTGCAAAATTAATAAACAAATAACTACAAAAACAATCTTTCGTTGTTGTAATGCCTGTATTGAAGATTAGTCGCATTAAATGAATTTCATTTGGTACTACTAATGGACACAATAAATCTTATATATGTGGATTAGATTATGGACACAAAACAGAGAACATACTTCTTGATAGCATATTTCTTCAATTCTACCGTATGATCTGTTTAATATTTTCTGATTCTTAAATGATTATTGAATGTTATTAAATATGAATTGATTAGTAAGTGAACAATATTTTCAACTGTATAATGTTTTGTGTTAATAGGCATTATGAGAAAAGAATAAAAACAGTTCAAAGATATATCAAACATAATATTTATTATATGGGAAACAATACACATAGAAAGATTTTACTTTTTGTGAATGTTCTTTTAAGTATAGAACAATGAGAATTCTGCTTTCAAATGTCCGGCATGTGGTATCAGGAAAGTTGAACAGACGAGCGCGTATTATCTGTCCACATTTGGTGGCGAAAAGATGCCAAAAGCCCTACATCTGCTACTGAGGAAGACGGGTCGTAATTCGACAGCCTTGCTACCAATCCGGAACTAACACATATTTAGGGTTCGGTTTGCATGTGTGGACCAAATGTTGTATATGTTTAATGTGTGTTCTGACCAGCGTGTGAGTACAGGTATATGCTACTGACCAGAGGTATGTTGAGGTATATGTTTGCGCATGTGTGTTCTGACCAGCCATGTGTGTTCTGACCAGCGTGTGAATATGTTGAGGTAATGTTTGCGCATGTGTGTTCTGACCAGCGTGTATGTTTATGTTTGGGTTGACCAGCGTGTGAGTATGTTGAGGTATATGTTTGTGCATGTGTGTTCTGACCAGCGTGTGAGTATGTTGAGGTATATGTTTGCATGTGTGTTCTGACCAGCGTGTGAGTATGTTGAGGTATATGTTTGCGCATGTGTGTTCTGACCAGCGTGTGAGTATGTTGAGGTATATGTTTGCGCATGTGTGTTCTGACCAGCGTGTGAGTATGTTGAGGTATATGTTTGCATGTGTGTTCTGACCAGCGTGTGAGTATGTTGAGGTATATGTTTGCGCATGTGTGTTCTGACCAGCGTGTGAGTATGTTGAGGTATATGTTTGTGCATGTGTGTTCTGACCAGCGTGTGTATGTATTTTGAGTGAGTATGTTTGTTTGCATGTGTGACCATTAACATATGTTTGCATGTGTGTTTGACCCTCTATCAATCGAGATGGTATATGTTTGCGCATGTGTATAATCATCTCAAGATTATACTCACTAACGTTTATGTAACATAAGATATTTTTGTCCATTTGTCCTTGAGTTTCTTGATTGAGTGTATTTCAAGTGTATTGAAGAATCGTCACCAATATTGTTCAAATGTACAGATGTAAAAATTGATATTTTGCAGCTATGGTGAAAAAATCTATAAAAAAAAATTCTTCACAGACCAAAGTCAGAATCATGTCTATGTTCATATGTGTATATGAGTGAACCATCCACTGCTCGTAATGTCAACTATTCGGGGATCTTTGATTAGTGAAATTGTTGTTTCACTATCGACCAGAAATTTTGTTTTCGAATTTCTGTCGATGATGGGAAAAACTCGGCTAGAATGTGGAGTGCAAATATGTTCCGTCGACAAATGCTGCAGGCTTTTCCCTGTAATCTAGCAAATATCACTGCATTCTTCCGATTTACTCTTGTATCACTGTCTACATCTGAAAACACTGCGATGGAAGCGTCTTGTCTCCCGCTCCACCTCAGCTTTGAAATTATCCACTTTTTCCCAGCCTTTTATTTTCAGCACGTAGTATGGATATATCCTCATCATGGGACTAACGGAAATTGTGTGGTTAGGTTTAGCAACCTCTATTAAGCTGCCCGTTGCCCAGGCCAACTTGCTTATGAATAGTTCGTCACCCCATGGTTAGCCCTTATAGGAGCCTCGCGATAATTTTTTGTCGTAAGACACTATATCTCCCATTGAGGCTACAGGGAGACGGGCTGCAATTGGACATTCTTGTAATAAATCCCAAATTCCCACACATATGGGATTCGACAGAGCCCCAAATCCTACTCCCATGTCGCTCTGACCTGCGTGTGAGTGTGTGTTAAAGTATATGTTTGTGCGCGTGTGTTAACTCACTACAACTTTAAATGCAACTGCTCTGTTACTCCTATTTAAAGAAATGATCGATATTATTTTTTCCAAAAAATTAAGATCTCTGCAACTATCCTGCGTATAATCAGTAGTAGTCATAAAAATGGACCTCAAGTGAGATATGCCTTACACTTTGCTGGGAGTAACTGGTAAGTAACTGCTAAATGCTTGGTAAGATATTTTTTTTCCGAGAGAGCTAAAGACTTTACTTAAGAAAACTCGAGGTTCTCTTAAATTATCTATTTCTCTTGGATTCGACCCGCTATATTGTTTTCACAAGTATCCTTTTAAGAATTTATGACTTCAAAGAATGCTTGTTTTGTATCTAACATTGTGGCTTCTTGGAGAAACTAACGATTCAAATTGAAGAATAAAAAGCTTGTCAAATAAAAGTGTCCGTCGTACCAGATAATCCATCATATTTAAATATGATGGATCATCTAAAATAAATAAATATTTTAACTTTTACGTACTCCTTATTTATCATTTAATCCTGCTTGTATCAAGAAAATCTTTTCAAAGCGGATTGACGAACTTTAAACATGAGCCAGTTTAATAATATATTCGGTAACTAGTTTCAGGTTCGACTGGTTGGCAAGCAGTCTAGGGGAAGGCCAACTGAATTCAAAACGGATTGGACTTAGGGCTAGTAACTCCCCCCTCTAAAAATCTACTTGTTACATAAATCACAGCAGCAACGCCTAGAGTTGTGAGTCTGTGGCCCTATTCTCCACATGAATGTATACACGACTTACTAGAAGAAGAAGCATTAATTTTTACTTGATGACTTGAAGGTTTTGCTTGACCATGTTGTTAAATGATTCTGTGTCGATGATTTCAGTCAAGTTTATAAAACAGAAAATGACTGAATTATTCAAATGCTATTTTTTAAAATTATGTGATTTTTCTATAAGCGTACAAAAGCAAATTTTTAATACAAGTATTCACCCAAAGCAAGTCACAGGATCCACTCAATGTAACGGGTTACTGTTGAAATGCTAATGATGACTGAGGTGTGTGATATAGATAACAGAGGAGAGATGGTAGGAAGTGATGCTGAGGAGGAAAGATAACGATTGACCCTTGACTTGAAGATTGTAGTGTTCAGGAAAGCATGCACGTGGGAGTCTGTTCCACAAAGTAGCAGTTCTTTCCACGTCTAACAAGTTTTTTTTTTTTAACTTGTTAGACGTGGAGCACGGAATATTGTGTATCGATGTGCATCGATTAAATTATCACTCTCTACGCTTATGGGCTTACAGTCAGATCACGTTGAAACACCTGTTCTAGTAAGATCATTGAAGTTAAGCAACGACGCGCCTGGTCAGTACCTAGATGGGTGCCCGCTTGGGAATACCAGGTGTTGTATACTTTGATGTGCGGGTGATGTAATAGATAACGGCTTGGAATTGGAAATCGGAGAGACTAGTTCCAATTCCAAACAGGTTCGTTATACTCACTTTCATGCAAATATCCAAGGGAAATGTATGAATTCACTTTTTCTTCCACGCCCAGCTATGGGTTAATTAGTAGATATTGTATTAGTAAAAACATAATAGTCTCAAAAAGTATTACCGTCTAAATATTTTCTGACTTTAAATAATATTCAAATGTTGATAAGCCGTAAAAACAAATATTTACTTTTGTATGAATTCGCATGTGTAAATAAGAATAACATTCTACATTCGTCGTTTCTTTCTCTTGATTCTATTCGCAAAGATTAAAGAATGATCATCTGAAATAAAAAAAAAACCTTGAGTACAATACAACCATCTTTTATTGAGTGTTTGCATTCCTAGGATGAAGCAATTTAAAGATACTATATTTATGCAAATGTTGACCTTACGCACTAAATCCGAGCAAAAAGATCGCAAGATTTATCACATTTTATAATATTGTAAATTTACTAAGTTTTCAAGATTTCTCCTTCTATTTTTGTACTTTGTCCTGCATAGATATGCACTTACAAAAAAAAAATATATACAATTTTTGTTTGGCACCAAATCACTACCTTAAAGCTTGTTAGAAAGATGAAAATCTTCTTTCTTTACTTTTCTTTCGTTGCATAATGAATCAATAATTAATCTTTCAAATCATTAATTAATTAACTAAGCGCTAAAATGTGATTTCGAGTACTTTATCACCGTATCTCAATTTAATTACACCAGTTGCAAATATGCAGCCATTAAAAAATATATATATATATATATATATATATATATATATATATATATATATATATATATATATATATATATTCAAGTTTAATTATCTGAAGAAGCTATAGTTGGCCAAAAGGTTCGTTCGGTTTACTAAGTAATAAGTGAACAAAATTTTTGACTAACTCAATAATTATAACAGAGATAAAAAGACGACATTCTACGATAAAGATAGGAACACGACATACACAACAAAAACGTTTCTTATAAAGAAAATGGTTAAAATATTCTTGAAAGAAAAACAACAAACTTAAAATTTAAACATGAACAGAAACAAAAAAATGAATAATACTTATTAATATCTAAATCACATCATTTAAATTTACAGTCGCTAAAAGATGACATTAAAAAGATATGTGTGCTCCTGATACACCTAATAAATACAACATATTTTCATGCTAACGTCGAAGTTATATTGTCAAGTACTTGTAAAAAAAATTGCTGTCATGAAGAAAGAAATATTCCTAGAAAATGTCCCCAAAGGCATAGTAACATCACTATCTCGATTTAACAAAGGTCGCAGCATGAAATAAAGTGGAATAGAACATTATATTGTAAAATAAAACGTTCAAAGAAAATAACAACGTAATAGCAAAGGTGCTGAAAAATAAACATTATTAATTTTCTGACTCATTATTTGAAACCAAATGATGCTAAGTTAAATTTGTTTTTCAAAAATATTGAGTAAATTACAAAATAAGAATCAGTCAGTGCAAACCTTTACTTTTTAAACAGCATAAAAAAAGAATTTAAAAAAGAATATAGATTTTACGGTACCACAGAATTCGTTGGCATCTACGAGTTGTTTTTCTTTCTCAAATGAAGAAAAGGGTTTTTAAAACGTCCATTCAATTTGCTATTTGTTTGGATTGTTGCTCCTTCTGCTTGATAAGTTTTTGTTCTGAATATTCCCCATCGGCTGCATCATCTCCATTAAGTGATGATGGCGTAGTGTGTTTGAAATGGTTTTGCTGAAACTAGACTGGTATACGCCAAATGCTGAACGGCTTACATTAATAACAGAAGCCTACCACAACATTCTACTAGATTTCTCTCAACTACTCTCTTCCTAGCTTCGTCTCCCCAGTGCTTATCTTTCTCTCACACTCCCACTTCTATTATTCTACATTTCCCCGTAATTCTGTTGCCACCTTCGTTTCATATATTCTTTTCATTTCAGTGTTAGGGAAAAAATGGACAGAATACAACTGGTGCAAAGGCGGGAAACTGTAGAGAAGATGAACACCACTACTACATCCAGTGTTTAGCTATTTGGTGGTTTCGACTAGTCGTTAGAAAGGCAGGTTGAAAAACGGGACGGTTGAAGATTATTCAAAAACTCAACCAGAAGCAGATATTATCCCCCAACTCTTGGTAATTTTCCTTTTAGTGCTTAATTCCACATGTATATGCATTTCTTTCTTTCTTTCTTTCTTTCTTTCTTTCTTTCTTTCTGTATTTATTTATTTCCTTCCCTTTTCTTTTTTTCTCACAATTGTTCCATATTTTTCTCTTTACGTAAAGTAAAAAAGGAAGAAAAGTAATTTTCTTCCTTTTTTTACTTTTTTTTTCAATTTTATTTATTCTTTCAATTCTATTCACAATTTTATTTTTTTCTCTTTCTTTTTCTTTCTTTCTCTTTTATTGCTTTTCTGTCATTTTTTCACCCTTCCTTTTTTTGCTTTTACTTTCTAATTGTTCGTTCAACTTTAGTATAAACACTGATTCGCCCCAGCGTGGGGATAAACTGGTTAGAAGTGAGGTCAAACCACACAGAGTGTTCCATATAAAATTTGACATTAAATGACCTGAAAGACATTGACATGTTATAAATTCAACCATCCTAACTAAATCTATATTCCTCTCTTTCACCTTTCTTTTCATTTTTGTCCATTTCTTTCTTAGCCAATTCTGCTCAATAAAAGCCCTTTTGAACTTTATTTTTTCTCTTTATCTCTCTGTTTCTTTTGAAAAATAAAATTAAACTACCCAAATTTATTTTGCTTCTGTTTATTATAAAACAAACTTTGAGCTAATTACAGGAAATATACCGTAAGAAAGATAAAGCTTATAAGTAAATTGTTAATGGGGCTGAGTGGCAAATGGACTTTCTGGCAAAAGATGAGTAGAATATTGGACGTGTTTTGAATCCAAGCAATATTATCATAAACACAATGTTTCGGTCAAGTACCCTCTGAATAACTTCAGGTGTCTGTTGTATAGCTGATATATGATATCTGTCGATTATTGTGTATTGTCCATGTGATGCCAATTTATGTCCGTTCCTGCTGAATCAGTGTTTCATTATAAAGATTTTGAGCGTAGTACTGTCGTGAACATGTGGAAGAGGTGGTAAACGAATATTTACAGAATGAGGTGAATACTTGATAATGAGGATTACACTGAATGACGTCTCACAAGTTTGGAAGAAAAGTCGTGAAGTTCATCTACCGAAGAACATTACCTCTACAGTGAAGCATGGGAGATGCTACTCATGAGAACACAACAATACATTGATATTTTGAGCCACAAACTGGAAAGGAACTGAATCTGGGACGTCGTTGGACATTCAGACAATGATCCTAAGCAGATTTAATGAAAGCATGATTGGAGACAAATAAGACTGAACTTTTACCACGGCCAATTCAAAGCCCAAATCTCAATCCGATAAACAAAATTGTGGAGACAGTTGAAAGTGAAAGTGAAACAAAGGAATTCTAAGATTCTCCAAGAATTAGAGACCATTTATCGAAAGAAATGGAAGAAAATAGGTGAAGTATAACAACTTGGGGTAAAATTACAAAACAGTAGAATTATCGTTTATAAAGAATAAACTATTACACATATTCATAATTTTACCCTCAAAAAAGTGATTCTTTCCTTTGATTGTTATTTTTATTTACCATATTAAAACTTAATTATACCCACAAAATATATATATATATATATATTTTTGTGGGTATAATTTTTTTTGGGTATATATATATATATATATATATATATATATATATATATATATATATATATATATATGGGGCGTGGTCGAGTGTACCCCTGTGTCATACAGACTTTAGAATTTTTAGTTCTTTATTTGCAACGCCTAGTCAGACTCTTAATATGAATCCTATTGAACATGTCTCATTCATTTTGTATCCTGAAACAAAAAAGATGTTCACAAAACACTTCATGATTTAGTTGATCTTTTAAATGTAATCTAGTCGAATATCTCATAATACAAGGCAACGGAGCCAATAAATATGACGTAAAAAAATAGGAAAAACTTTTAAATCACCTATTAACAAGTTCCCCAAATATTAATTTACATAATGATTTATTGTCGAAATATTTCAATTATTAAATAAAGGCTGGAAATAAAGGTGACTTTTACTTTTTCATGTACGTAAATGTCACTGTAAAGATGCACACTAAATCAGATGTAAAGTTTAAGAGAATGCATGTTTGCCGGATGATGTGTGCATAATGTATACGTGTGTTTGAACAGGGGGTTGATTAAAGGCCTAATGTTTAACTTTCAGATGTGTGTTACAGTTTCAAATCTGATTCTACTCGGTTTTTAAAAAATATATAATACTTTAGAATTTTCCCTGCTCGAACTCATCAAAAGAAATACACTCCATGCTTTAAATTCCAGAGGAATTTAAAGCTGAAAAGAACAATGATTGCCGCAACAAAGATATTTAGTTATTAAAATCAAGCAAGCTGGCTCGCTAATTCTGGTTAATTCTTTATCAACCAATAGATCCGAAGAGTCAAGCTCGACATTTTTGTGTGTATGCATGTGCTTACATATACAGTTACGACTTGAAATAAATAACATTTCTACATAGAGACAGAATGACAGTCGTCAAAATTATGACTATTTTATACAAGAAAATTAAATTAAAGATATTTTATAACAGAATGTTCACGAAATATTCTGGTTCTTATATACAAGTTGAATGAAATATAATTCGCATTCACAATATAAAAAATTACTAATCGCCAACGCAAATATCCAGCACTATGAAAACAAATACTAGAAGCAAATTATATTAAAAAATTAAAGCCGGTACTGAACAGAATCAACTAGGAATACTGTAGAAATGCCTGTAAAGGAACAGTTTTTTCACGCTTTAATGCGCTCGTGACC